ATACTTTATGAGCAATTTTAATATAACAATTGAAATGTAGCAAACCTTTTTGTGTCAATTAAATTCAAATATCGCATGTTCTTTCTTTTTTTTTTAAGATTTTATTTATTTATTTGACAGAGAGACAGCGAGAGCAGGAACACAAGCAGGGGGAGTGGGAGAGGGAGAAGCAGGCTCTCTGCTGAGCAGGGAGCCCGATGCGGGGCTCGATCCCAGCACCCCGGGATCATGACCTGAGCCGAAGGCAGCCGCTTAACCGACTGAGCCACCCAGGCGCCCCTGTTTCTGCTTTTTAAGAGGATGGATGAATAGAGGGAATAGGGATTTGACTTCAACTCTTGTTGGCACTATTCACCTTTAATTTCCTTAGTTTCAGACTGCTCCAAGAGACAAATTTCTTATTTGCTTTCCTACTTCCAGGAAATGTGTTATCTGATGGTAAATCTGAAAGATAGCAAAAGCAGTTGTTGTCAGTGCTTGGTTTTTTTTTTTTTTTTTTACGGAGATTAAAGAGTTAATTGAAGAAGGAATGAAAAGCTTAGTGAAGGGGCACCTGGGTGGCTCAGTCAGTTGAGCTTCCAACTCTTGATTTTGGCTCAGGGTCGTGGGATCAAGCCCCATGTGGAACCCCCCCTTCAGGAGCCCCGCTTCAGGTTCCACGCTCAGTGTGCATCCTGCTTGGGATTCTCTCTCCTTCTGCCCCACTCCCTGCTCGCACCCGCATGCTCTAAATAAATAAAGAAATAAGTAAGTAAATAAGTAAATAAAATTTTTAAAAGAAAAGCTTAGTGAAAAAAATCAGTCTGTATGTGATGAGTTCTTTATCTGTCATGGTATGACCACTTTATTTGGCTTAAAGTTCTCTGGCTTTCCAGAAGCAGAACAGATTTATTAAGGACTGTTATATATGGCACACACAACAAAATATATATTTTTTTAATTTCCTTGTTTTGAGTTAGTATCTATTTTCTCTTGATCTCCAACGATGAATCTTACTGACTAAAAGATGGGCATTCTTACAGATAAAACCCGGCATCTCTTCGTAATAATTTTCCTTTTTTCCCCTCCAGCTTCAGCAGTTAATACAGACTTTACAACTACAACAGCAGAAGCCTCAGCCTTCTATCCTGCAGGCCCTGGACGCTGGTCTCGTTGTGCAGTTGCAAGCTCTCACAGCACAGCTCACGGCTGCGGCTGCCGCAGCCAACACCCTGAACCCCTTGGAACAGGGAGTGGCTTTCAACAAGGTAGAAATTAAGTTAGCAGATCTGTTTTATAAGAAGTATTAAAGTCTATATGCTGTCATGTGGATTCTAATTCTGTAAATTATATTTTATTATAGAACTATTATTTACAATATGCAGTGTACTATGTAATATATTATGAATTTTACTAAAGGTTTACAGATTCCTGAAGAAACTTAAGTAACTTTAAAATTCCACTTGAGGGGCGCCTGGGTGGCTCAGTCGTTAAGCG